TACATTTGGATAAGCCAAGTAGAGTTTTATTCTTAAATTTGGTATTTTGTAATTTTTGTGTGATTTTAAAAATGTAAATATAAGTTTTGTTGGAAATACAACTAAAGAAATGTATTTTTGCTATATTAGTACATTATTTAACAATAACTTTTTGAAAAGGGATTTTGGATACATTGACCAGCAAATGCCTGAATAATAGCTGTTGATCCTGTTTTTCCACACTGTTGTATTGAAGGTTTCCTCTACCTGCAGCAGCAAGACCTATTTCAGACCAAATGTATTTATGTAACTTGAAACAATATTGTTTACACTTGATTCAATGGTTTATTTGTTTTTTGTAAATAGAACTCATTTTAAATTTTAAGAAGATTTTTATTGAAACACTTTTGTTACCATATTTATGTGGCAGCAATATCTAACAAGTTTTGGAGACATAGGCGACATTTTGATAGACTTTACAACTCTGCCAGAAGCAGAACTCAAAATAAACATGTTATTTAAAGCAACTATGAAAGTAACAGCAAAAGAAGTATTGTTAGTAGTAAGACGAAAAGTCCAATATCTGCACTCTTTTATAGAGAGACAAAAATAAAACAAATAATTCTTTTTAAAAAACTGGGATACCAATAGCGATCCACATTTACCAATAGCTGGGGAAAAGTATGTTAAGAGATATGTTAAATATTTGCTGAAAAGGAAACTTTAGTTGTCTGTATGTGAAACCCCATCAATCATTCCACACAGTAGGATCAGAAAACTAATTCCCATTCTTTCTCGAAAATCAAAAGTGGTCTTATCTAAACCAAAAGAAAGTCATAGGAATAAGTGTTCTGCCAGTTATTCATTCTCTTCTCACTTCAAACATTATTTACTAATTCTTAGTCATAATTTACTATTTTGTCCCCTCTACACAGTATGATCTATGGTGCCTCATTGGGGTGATCTAGGAGTAGATTCCAGGGAGTTCCCAAACCTCTGGAAGTACATACGTCTTAGAGGATAGGACACATACACATTTTTAAAAGGGTGTGGTCTATATCTTTTGTCTCTTATCCAGTTCTCAAAGTGATATGTGACTCAATAAAAGATGATTGTCTGGCATAGGTAAAGAAAATGCTAGAATTTCTATTCATATTAATCTTCATTTAGAACAGAAAATAAGCTGTATTAATATGTAGTACTGTATAATGATTGAGAGTAGCATATTATATTTATAAATCAGTATTCATATATGTATACATATACATATTTGTATATGTGAGGACACGTCAAAAAGCTTGTGGAAAATAGAATAAAATGGTAATATGAGTCTTTCCATGAACTTTTTAAATCACCCTCATATATAGTTGGTGTGCTAAAATATTTACTAATAGTGTGCAGGAATCCAAAATGTTGGAGAACGCTGCTCTAAATCAGTGAATATCAAGTTCTAGGATTTGGCAGGGCATCATCGATTTACACATGGGAGGAGGTAAAGCAACAGTAAATTCTCAAATAGTAATATATTTTTATTCACTTCAATTTTACAAGATACTGTTTATTGGGGAAGAAGGCAGCTCAATGAGATTAAATAGTCTTCAGGCAGCACATTCCCATGTCACTGGGAATAAGTACTTCTAAAGGTGCAAAATTCCCTACTACTGTCATCATAACTTTCCAAAGAGCTTCAGTTTTGCTGCTCTTATTCCAGGTGTATGATACTAAAAACATTAGACTGTTCAACTTATATAACAGCATTTTTGTTTTGCTTTGTTTTGTTTTAGTTTTCTCTGAAACTACTTCATAGTTCTCTCCTCAATACAGATGGGTTGGCAGCATTTTAGACTAAACAAACATCTTAACAGATACTTTAAGATCTAGGCATCCTGCAAAGTCATTTACTGCCAAGCAATTTTCTTCACAATCTGTAAGGTTTATTTGCGATTTAATTTTTCTGACATTATATACTTAAAATAAATTTAAAAGCTTGAAAGGCAGCCACAACCTCATCTAAAATCTTCCACTAGAATATCTGAGATTGAGTCCTGGATGTGACATTTATATTTTTTTCTTTATTTCTACCCCAATGTTTAAATCTAAAATATTAACATTTTCGTGAAACTAAATTTATTATTATGGGAATTATGACTTTAGGATATTCTTTTTTTTTTTCTTTTGCTTAGTTGTTTTAAATTAAAATCTATGCATTTATGAAGACTTTGAAATTTGTTTTTGGCAGGCACTAAATATGGGAAGAAATTGGAATAAATAAGGAGATAAGGGGATAGTTTTGGATGAAAAAAGTGCATGGAAATGTGGGCTAGTCAAAACAGATGCAGGTGTGGCTAAATTAAGAGCAAGGCACTTTGAGGGAAATACAGAGGGCACTAAAATATATGGTGTATAAAGTGGCTTAAAATAAGAATACCAAATGAGTGTACATCATCATATAGTAAAAGAAACATGTAAAAGAGACCAACACTTCCTCAAAAGTCTAGAAGCTGACATACTAAGAGCAGAAGGAAACAACTCAACGAAGACTACAATGGACTAATTGCTTCCTTACTGTAGGCTCATGGCTGTCAAAACGAGAGTGAGTCTTCCCCTTCTCACTAAAGCATACAGAAATTTTCCAGGACTTGAAAATTATCCCAGCATAGACTGCACAGTATAACACTGTAAATTTTGATTGAAAATTACATTTTGGTGTTCTCTGCTTAATAAGAAAAACTGTCCCCGTGTTTAGACTGTGTTTAGATAAGGGATTTGCACTTCTCTGTCAATTCTGCAGCATTGTGTTTCTGATTTGGAGGAGATGGTAAGTCTTTCTTCACAGAAATTGAAATGACTCTGTCCTAGCCCCCTTTAATGACTTCCCTCCCATTTGTCACACGTACTAGGTTCCCCATCCCTGCACCCTTCAAGTCTACCTCCATTTAACTGTCCAAGTACTGCTACTAAAGAGTGAAATAGTTCCAAAGTGCACAATTAAGTGAAATAAACTGCCTATGTTTTATTAAAACATTTATTGTTCAAAGGGTAATATCTATTGAATCACCCCAACAAGTATGTACCAAAGAGATTCCTTTCCACTTATTAATAATGATTTATGCAAGTCAAGCCTATGCACTTAAAAGCTACTGCAATAATTCATTAACCCATTCTCTTTGTGTCTATTAACAGTTGCTTTAACAGGTACTTGAATATGGCTTCAAAGCATTATATAGCCCTAGACTTCATGGAGGCTTGCATGTAAAGCTCCATTTGGACAGTTTCCCAGCAGGATAATCTCAGCCTATTTCATGAGATTATAATCTCATGTCTATTTCCCAGCCCCTATTTGGAGAAGACAATCCCATTTATTCATCTCTGTTCCTTCTTCTAACCTAACCATAAGACAAGCCCAAGCAGGGTCTGCTTTGGCATGACCGACAATACCATGGAGAAGCCAATTTCAAAGAAATGTTAGTTGAAATGCTGAAGCAACTCTTCTTTCCTCTCTACCAAAGGATCTGAGGATTAATGGCCTTGAGAGTGATGTGAAGTTTCAATGCCAGACATCCCAGATTTATGTTTATACTTGTGATAAAAGACTCAGGATGTAGCATGATTCATTTTCTTTTGAGATTTATATGAATGTTTATGTAGTCATCTGTGCAAGTAAATATCAATTCTCATCCCTGCTGTTTGTGACATTGCCTTTCAAAAACACACATCTGATCATACCATTCTCTCCTTTATGATTTGGCATCTCCCTTGTCTAGTAGCTTTAAAACTGTTGCAGAGGAAGGCAGAAGCCAATGGGTCTGCTTTTTGTTTGTTTGTTTTGCTTACTTATTTCTTCCTTTGGTGAGATTTATTTTAAACAAAGGGCATCATGGAAATTAATAATAATAATTAGAAATCACACACCTTTATATGACAAACAGCTCCTTTTACAATTTATGTCCAAATGGTCTTTCTGTGCTTATTCTCCTCACTTGCAACTCATCCCAGGCATCTGGCTGTCCAGAATATACTATGCATCTCCAAGATCCCATTTCTTTGTGTTCCTTTCCCCTTCTCTGCATGAGGAATTCTAAAACCAAGAGACTTTTCTAAACACCAAGTCCCCTATTCTGTACTTCCAAAGAATTCTGTAATTATTTGTCTTATGTTTGTCTTTTATTGTTCCATTTTCAATAGAAAAGGCCATACTTTATCTTTGAGTTTCAAAAACATAGCATTATCCCTGGCACATAGTAGGTAATCAATAAATAATTTATAACTGAATAAATGAAAATGACTAAATGAATCCATTAGTATTTAAGTTTTCCTAAATGCTAAACTTTGTATTTTCTTATAAAGTCTAGATGGATCTAGAAAGATAAAGCAAAATGGGAATAACCATTTTAACTCAATATTTCCCTTTGCTTCTTGATGAAAGCATTTTTAGAAAACTTCAGTATAATTCTGCACTTCTTTGAGAAATATGTATGACGAGATAATTTATTTTGTGCACTTTATGCAAAATAATGGGATAAGAAGCCACGGAGGAAATAATAAAACCAGGATAAAAGGAAACACTGCTGGGGTCCTTGGCAGAAACAGGCTGATAGGAAAACAATCTTGGGACCCAACGTTATTTTTTAGGATAATTAACAAGCAACACTATTCAGTACCCTTAGTCCCCAATCCTGTTATAGGCCTTGCCTGTCCCTTCTTTTCTCCTTCCTCAATTCTACGCCTAACCTCAGAGCTCTGAGTTTGGTCCCTCACTTCTTTTGAGAATGTATCCTCCATGGTCTCTTCCCATGGTCTGGATCTAAAAATGTCACCATAACCTCTGCCCTCAAGAATGGGTAAGATAGAGGGAAAAATTCCCTAAAATTTTTTAGCACCCTAATTGTGAATTTGAATGCATCATATCATGGAAATGTGTGTTCATCTTGCTTAAGGTCCACAAATTATTCTATAATTAATGGGCCTTTGTAGGCTGACCTGGGAAAACTATCACAGATGACTTAATTTCTCTGGAGAAATACATTTTTGGTAGCTTTTTATTTAGATAAAATGTCATTTACAGAAAAGTTGCAGTAGCACAAGGAACTCCCATGAAGCTTTTTACCAAGATTATGTACATTTCTCCCATTTGTTTTGTGTGTGTATGTTTGTGTACTTAAACATCAAACACACATAGAAAATACTTTTTAAATTCTAATTAACTTACAAACTTTTAGAGCACAAATTAATACCAAATTGAAGTCTGCTTAAAAAAAAACATGATGAAGATGACATTCTATTTTATGCTTTTAAATTTCTTCTAGTTCCTATAATTTTCTCTGTAAGAAGGGTTCAGTTCCATAAAGAAAAATGTATTTACATCTTTAGTTTCTTTGTGAATACTTATTTAACTTAATATAATGTGAAGTTGTAACTATATTTTCCCAAGGCCTATGGTACTTTCCAATAACAGGGCTGGTGTTTAATGAGACACAGTCAGTCCTTTAAGACACTGGGGTATCATTTAGTAAGTAGTCATCACTGTAATGTCTGCAGTAGTACCCCTGGAATACTAGAGGCCAATTACTAACCACTTTTTATTCCTCATGTCATCATGGCCTAGCCTGGGGACTAATGGAGACAGTTAAAGAACTTTTAAACTAAGTTACTTCTCAGAACCCCAGTTAAGAGTTCACTGTACCTATGGCTCTGCTAATACTGGTTTAAAAACTGTACTGTTCATCCTTCTCTTGCTTAAAATTTGAGCCCTTTTTAAAATCAAATCCTTATCTCAAACCAAACTCTACAGATTTTTTAGTGCATCAGAGAATTAAGACTGACATCATTAAAAATAAAAGTTCAAACTCCAGAAAAATGTTCACAAGTTTCCATAATGAAATCACTGCGTCACTTTCTTCAACAATGCTAACAGTCTCTTTTTAAAAATATCATCAAAATATTTCAACTAGAATAAAAATTCACAGATGTATACTTAATGAGGCAAAAATTTGATTCTTGGTACATAAACATACACCAAAATGTTCAACACAAATTACTTAAAAATGAGCTACCATCAAAAAAAAGCAAGTCATAATTTCCACTTCTGAACTTAGATTTTCTTCTGGCAACTTTACAGGGCTCAGCATGGCAATGGATGACATCTGCTGAATTAGGTCCAAATTATTCCGTGTGTGTGTGTGTGTCACTACTGTAGTTTATGATAGGTCCCCCTGTATGCTTACTTTACTCCCATATTGCCTCTGGTTAAATTAAATTAGAATGATATTATTGCATTTTAATATAGTCTATAGCCTCCTTTATACTGAATATTTTACTACTGTAATACTACAATGAATTAATAGAAATCAAACTGCTAATATGAATTAAAATAGCCTTTACATGTAAAGAATAAAAAAAGAATCAAACTAAAGTAAATATTTATTGTTATGACACATTGTGTTATGGAGAATATTTTTAACTTCTAGAACTAAAAGTAATCTTTGATATTTACAGAACTATTTTATATTCATATTGCACCTAATCCTTAATTGCGTATTTTCCAAAAAAAAAAGAAAGAAAGAAAGAAAGAAAGAAAGAAAAGGAAAAAAGCACACAGGAAAAAAAACAAAACGCAGTGTATTCTGTTATACATGCTAACAGTTATATAAGAAAATGTAATAAAATGCAGAGTTGAAAGGTTGAAAGAACTTACAGTATCAAAGAATGTAATTTCTATTCAAAAAGCTTTTTTAAGGCAACACTATCACAAATACACTTTTATAACCTTGGCATTGACCAAGGCATGAGATGGCATGTGAGTCCATCACTTTGTACAGTTGACTACAGTTATCTGATATATGTACAATGTGCTGAATTTTGAGTATAGGTTGCAAGTGATTGTTATATAACAGAAATATCCCCCCAAAAGTCAAGTTTTGAGGTTTCTTTTTTTTTACATAGAAGAGTTGAAGTATTGAAGTGAGTGAGTACATTTTTGTCATGTTAAATGAGAGAAAGAGTAGATTGTGGCTTAGCTTCTGAAGTCCTAATACTGCTATTGAGCCATCTGCAATCCTAAAGTGCTTTCAGAGATTCTACACATCTTCAAAGGAGTTAACCCCAAAGATTAATAAACAGGTATACAGTTTGCTAATCTATTCCTGATGCTTTGCCTAAAAAGTTGGCATTGCTGTCTTCAACATCTTTCTTTTGGAACCATGGTTTTGAGTTTGTTCCTTGTTGATAAGCATCCAGAAAGTGACAGATTCCAGGAATTTCACTGGGGAAGTTAGGTGGAAGTTCCTCCCTTGATCGAGGGGTAAACACAAAACCAGGGCAGTCTTTCAGTAATCTGAAAAGATTAAAATAAAAATATTAAAATTTAATACTGACATAAATGTTTGTCCACTCAAGAAAAGAAGACAACATAACTAAATGCATATTACTGAGAATATTAATAAGCCAGTCATTTTCAGTGTAACAGACAGAAATATATTAGTGATGTTAACAGATATCTTCACAGAAATACAATGAAGAATCAATTCACAATAACAAGAAAATTTTATCAACTAATGTGTTTACTCATATTAGAAAAAATAGTTATAAAACATTTCTGCAAAGATATAATCTGTATAACAGTGCAATTCACAATAGTGAAAAAAACCCTCAATATAATCCAAAGATCTAATAATAGCCAAAAAGACCACACATAATTATAATGGTCTTGAATAAGGTTTCCTAAATTGAAAGAGGTAAGACATTATGCATTTATCAATTCATTAATTTTTTTTTTTGTCTTTTTTCGTGACTGGCAACGGATCGCAACCCTCAGTGTTGCGCCCGTACCGGACCGGGACCAGCAACGGAATCGCAACCCTCGGTGTTGCCCCCGCTCCTCGCTCAGCCAGTGAGCCGCCAGTCTGCACGTGGGATCCGAGGGAGTGGAAAATTATAATGATAAAAGTAATGTGAGAATAACTTCTGAATTTTTCTACTGAAATTTTATGAATTCCAGGTTAGAAGGACTCAAATGAGATTTAAAATCTATGCATTTATGAAGATTTTGAAATTTGTTTTTGCATATTAGCACCATACTTACTAATTGGTATTTGCAATATTTTTTCTTCTTAAATATATCTGTTCTACTAAATTTTATTATTTGCTACTTACTACTTGCCCATTATGCTAATTTCATCTTATCTAATTTTACTGATTAAATTATTGGCTTCTCTTCCCATTTGCTTCCCTTGCTTACTGTCAAATACAAACTTAATAAGCATTCTCTCTAATCTACTATTCAGGCTATGGATGAAAAAGGTTGAATATTTGTAGGCACTAAACAAACTTCTACAGAAAATCATTTATCCAATCTGCCCAACCAGACCATGGCCTTCTACTCACCAGTCTGTGATATCATGTCTAAATGAAATAGAATGATGGTGCTGAATTAGATTTTGGTATTGTGACAAAATACCAAATAGACAAATTTGTCTATGTACTGGAGAAAACAACTGAATAGTAATCTGTGTCTCAAGAATGACAGACCTCGAGTAGACTATATGAATATTCTATTAACAAATTTTTATCAGTGTATCAGTAAATATGCAATCAGCAAAATAAAAAAATTAATTAAAATGATGCGTTAGTCATAAATTCATAATAGTTTTCACTATTATTTATGTGACATACTATTTGGGAATATACAACGGAAAGTTACAGAATTACAAAGTATTAGAAATATAAGCTTCAAAGTCTGATAGATTTAGGTCTTAAGAGCAGCAAAGATGTCTGTTATCTAGCCTTTAAAATGGGAATAATAATACTGTATATCTGTTAGGACAGTTGTAAAGATTAAATAAGTTAATTAAAGAAAATTGATTAAGCATCAATTAGAAACCACATAACACTTATCATATTGGTAACAATGAGTAAGTTAGATAGTTTCAGGCTTTGGGGGATAGAAACATTAATACACTCTTGGTGGAATGTAGACTGGTAAACCAATTTGGACAGTTAATTGATGCTTAGTAAGACTGAAACTGGGTATAGCCTATGATCTGGGAATGCTATTTATAGTTATATTATCTAGAGACATATGTATAAAGATATTTATTGAATCGCTTTTTGCAATCGTGAAAAACTGGATACACATTAATTAACCACAGGTAGAAGATGAGATTCTGGCTTATTCATATTCTAGAACACATATTATATCACAAGCACATATATTGACATGCTAGATTTTGCTTATATTGGCTTGTGAGAAACTACTGGTCAATATTCAGGAAGTTTGCAAGACAGTTAAACCATTAATGGTATTGAATAAGGTAGCCAGAGACCTCCCATGGTGGGTGTATTAACACCACAGAAATTTGCAAATACTAGAAATCAGGGATTCTCCACTTCATTCCACAAAACTAGTTTACCAGCAAACCACTGCATTAAAAATAATTAAAATAAATGAACTAGATTTATATCAACTAGATCTACATTTAACCAAGAAAAAAAAATCTGAAAAACATAATATTGGGTAGATTCAAGACAAGTAATAAAAGGATATGAACATATTGACTGGCAACTATTTTTCCTCTGGCTTTATTTTTCTAATCTTGAGGGATCTAAATCAGAGCTACACTCCCAGCATCCCTCTGCCCATTTTCCTTCCTGGTAAGCAGAAGTGACATATCTTCTTTGGTGTTTTTGTGAGAAGTCACTCAACATGCTGTACTCAGTGCTTTTTTGTCTTTCTATTTGGGAACTTGCCTGTCTGCAGGGAGCACATGTTCTCACCTGCTCCTACAAACTATTAGGGGTATAAAATCCATTGTGTCAGGGAACAGGACCAGGGGCATGTAGTATATTATTTTTCTTATATTTTTACTGTATATTTTATATTTATATTTTAAATTTATATTTATTTTTGTTATATATTTAACTAACTTATATTTATATTTATTTATTCTATATTTTATTTATTTTATAAAACAGGGACTTGAAACAGATATTATAAAATGTTGATACTTGTTAAATATTAGTATTGGTTACATGGGTGGTGTATTATTTTCTTTGATTTTTTTCTCTATGCTTGAAAGTATGTTTTTGTATGTTTAAAAATTAAATATAAAAGTGTTTAATAAATAAAAATGTATAAAACTGTATAGATGACTGAAAAATATTTTTTTGTATCTACATCAACCCAACATTTCCTACTAAATATGGTAATCATAATCTTATATTTAAGTTTATATAAAATTTTCAGCATTTACAAGTGACTTTACATCATTTGAATTTGTTAAGTGCCTCGCTCAATGTCACACATTTGGTAATTGTGTTTGGGAGTCTAAGGCATGACTTCTGAATATAAATCCTATGCTTTTTAAAGGTACTTACAAATACAATTAGAGTGTCATGGAGTTAGAAATTTTCAAAAAGTATTCCTTAAAATGAGATCAGAAACAGTTTGGAAAAATAAAATTAGTGAGTGATGGAGTTTGGCTGTGTTGTCCCCTCCAAAACTCATGTGGAAATTTGATCCCCACTGTGGCAGTGCTGGAAACTGATTGAGTCATGGGGGTGGATCCCTCATGAATGGATTAATGCTCTCCCTGGGGGAGGGGGGAGTAATGAGTGAGTTCTTGCTCTATTAGTTCCTGAGAGAGCAGGTTATTTAAAAAGACCCTGGCTCCTCCTCCTCTCCCTCCCTCCCTCCCTCCCTCCCTCCCTCCC